TAGAATAGAATAGAATAGAATAGAATAGAATAGAATAGAATAGAATAGAAATACTTTATTGGCCAAGTGTGATTGGACACACAAGGAATTTGTCTTGGTGTAAATATTCTCAGTATACATAAAAGAAATATACATTCGTCCGGAGTCGAGAATCATAAGGTACAACACTTAATGATAGTCATAGGTTACAATAAGCAATCAATCATACTAGGAAACAGTCAATATAAATTGTAAGTATACCAGGGACAAAGTTACAATCATACAATCACAAGTGGGAGGGGATGGGTAATAAGAAGCGAGTAAATTCTGAAACTATGAAGGAGAAGTAATCAACTTAGTTAAAAGAACTTATGTATTCAAGCATTTCATTGCTGGAGAACCAAAAAAAAAAAAAAGAGTACAGGAAAACAATGTGGGACAAAGGAGCATTTAGAAAAACCTTCATGGGCAGGCACTTATCCTTAGTATATGGATCTGGTATGTAAAAAGCTTTTCCTTACATATAGACTTTAGGGGCCCTTGTATGTCTTTGCTGCAGTTTCCACGAAACATCCAAAGTATTGGGCAGGGATCTATGGAACTGCATTACAGACTCCAGATCAGTGTGTTTTGTGAGCCCATTCAGTGTGGGACTGCTGGACATGTTCATGACAATATTCCAGTTTAATTACATAGGCTACATATCCCTCTGTGAGAGATCTGTGGTCTCTTCTTGTCACTTTATGATAGCACAATGTTTCTCCAGGGCCATAAAGAACAGATTCTTGAATATACCTCCACATTCCAATGATGTCCTTATTTCTGCAGAACATTTTTTGAGAACTAAGATCAAAAGACTTTTAGGGAGGAAGAAAAAAAGCAGCAGTTTGTGTTGTGGAGCTAATTTACAAGTTTAATTTTGACTCAAATACACAGTGTACTTTAGTCTTATTATTTAACCAACTCTTACAAGGCTAAGTTTTTGCAACCTATCCTAAGAAATAGATCTTGTGCTTCAGAGAAGAAAGGGGATGGTTAACTCTTCACGTGTTAGTCTTTTTAAAGAAAAAAAAATCCTTAAAAGTTTCTTTATTCTCTTGTGGTTTTTAATGTAAGCATTTGTGTGATGTAAAGTTTTAGCCTTAGTAAGAACTATTTCAGAGAAAAATACTAAGAGGAGAAGGTGGGTGCATTAACTGTAATTGAGCCCGGAATTATGGTTGAAGTTTGTGGCAGTCAATAAATGGAGTGAATCAGCAGTGGGATGCCTCAAGGTTCTGTCTTGAGCCCAATACTCTTCAATATCTTCTAAAATGATCTAGAGGAGGAAATTGACATGGTGCCCATCCAATTTGCGGATGACATTAAGCTGGGCAGAATCCAAAATATTAATTTTGGAAGATAGAGTTGAGATTCAGAAGGATCTTGATAGACTTGAATATTGGGCCGTATCCAACAAAATGCAGTTCAGTGGTGAGAAAAGTAAGGTCCTGTACTTAGGCATGAAAACCTGAAGGCAGAACAAGAAGCAATGGCTAGGAAACTTGTCAGAGGGATATTCAACTTGGAGCTAAGGAGAATTTTCCCGACAGAACAATTACGGTAGTCATTGGAAGAGTTTGCCCCCTGGAGTTGTGAGTGCTCTATTGCTGGAGGTTTTCAAGAAAAGATTGGACAACCATTGGTCCTGGATGGAAAGGACTTTTGCCTTGGGCAGGGCATTGGACTAGAAGAACTCCAAGGTCCTGTCCAGCCCTATGGTTCTATCATTCTTTTCTAAAGCTAGCTTGAAAATCTAACCTCTCCTTTTCCACATGGAACTCTAATTTGCACTGGGTGATCCCAAGCGTTGTTTTTCTAATATGTGAAATTAAGGATATTGTAAACATAGTTCATACATGTTGTTAGTGTTCCTTTTGTGTGTGCTGGCATATAGATTGATCTCTTCCAATCTGTTGGTCACTCTCCAGATTTGCTGGCATAGCTTGGTTTTACCTTTATACACTGCCTTTAAAACTTTACTGATCCCTTTTCTGTTCCTCCCCATATATTCATAGATATTTTGACAATTCCTGTAGCATTCTGTCTTGGTAATGATCAAGGTTGGCCTAACTTCAGCAATTAATGGTAGACGTTCCTGTAAATATAGAATATCCTCTAAGCTATTTTGAATGTTGACATCATTTAAGGGTCCAGTGATGCATTCTTCCTCAAGAGGCCATTGCTGCACCTGACCATTATGGACAATTTCTATCCAGTTTTCAACCTACCCACTTGGGAAAAAGGAACAGGGTGAAGTGAAATCGACAGGTTGTCCAAGATTGGCTTTAGAGCTCCTGCTCAAAAAATAAGTGACAGTCATGGCAAGGAGGGCTTTTGCAAAGCATCTTCTTGTGCTTCAATTTCACCCATTCCTACATTGAGAGGCCCTGTCATATCACTTATGCTCCCATGGTGTCTCATTTAGATTACTGCAATGTACTGTGAAAGGGCTGCCCTTGAAGAGCATTTAGAAACTTCAGTGGATACAGAATGCGATGGTGGGGCATAAATGGAAGCTTAGGAAATAGAGTGTTGTATAAGTTGAAGTAACAAATCAATAAACTAATATACTGATAAAGGAAGACAGAGAGTACTGTCACATACCACCAATAATGTGAGGTTGCATTATCAGCTTATCTGGTTCCAAGTGCATTTCAAGGTCCTGGTTATTGCCTATAAATCCTTACATGGCTTGAGGCCTGGTATCTTCAAAACTCTCTTTTCTGAATATAAATTGATTATAACGACCCACTTCATGCAGACTGCTGATTGAACGCCTATTGAGTTGTTTGATGGAAGTGGAAACAGAATGGTAATTGTATACAGGAATGCCCTCCTCAGAACAGTTTGCTGTCAGAGGTAAGATTGTCAAAACCTGGTTGCTCTAGACAAGACTTTGGAAAACAAATACTAAATTGTGTGAGTAAACTGCAGTGCCATCTAGAGTATATACAAGTAGATGATGTATTTTGTATGCATTGCTCCATTTCCCTCTCCCTCCTCATTACAGGCTACCTATCCTACAAGGAGGAACCTTTGCATTTTTAACTCCTTCACTGGCCATGCTCAGTTTGCCCTCCTGGAAGTGCCCAGCTTGGACCAATAATGCCAGCATGGTGGATCCTACTTCCCCAAAATTCATTGATTTATGGCAGGTTCGAATGAGAGAGGTAATCCACTGAGGATATTTGTATAAACGTACTGTTTTGTGGAAATTTTTGTTTTTGTGGTGTTTTATATTGCCTTTCAAATAGTTTTTGATCATGCTGGCTGGGGAATTCTGAGAGTTGAAGTCCACAAGTCTTAAAGTTGCCAAGTTTGGGGACCCCTGAACTACAGGGAGAGAAGATTTTATTTTCTTTCTGGATGAATTAATTGTTATTAATTATTAGGTTTCCTAAATATTGTTGAGAATGATAGTTAAATGTCCTCCAGAACAGCAGCCTCTCAAATAAAAGTGACATGATGGCTGCCCTTCTCTCAAGTTTAAGAGAATCTATCATGATCCCACAGAAATATTTATGGATCATGAACAAAGGAGATACAAAGATTTACTGCTTCCAGTTTGCACTTACTATCTTTAACTTTAATTTCTTCCAAATTGGAAACATCATCAAAAAGATATTTCCCATCCAATATTTGTTAATCATTCAGAAAACAAATTAATAAAAGCAATTAATTAATTTTCCTACTAAAAATTACGGCAACTTTGCTAGGATTACTAAGATGACATCCAATTCCATTAACCTGATCAACTACCAACCACTGCCAATCATACATCATCACTTGCAATTTAAATACAAGGATTTCCATTAGAATAAAAAGCATTTACAGCCTTTGTTGTTTCAGTTGCAGGGAGCAATTATGGTAGCATCTTGCTTCCAAATTTTTGTTGGCTTTTCCGGTCTCATTGGATTCTTGATGCGGTTCATTGGACCCCTGACTATTGCTCCAACCATAACTTTAGTGGCGCTGCCTCTCTTTAGCTCGGCAGGAAAAGATGCTGGAGAACACTGGGGGATAGCAGCCTTGTAAGTTTTGTGTTCTTTTAATAACCAAAATAATGTAAACTGAGAATATAATGCTTTTTTCTTTTATGGATTAATTAAAAAAGAAACTTCTTAGCTCTTGTATGTTCACATATGTAATTGTTGTGATTGGAAGGATCGGTCCTGTTGGGAGTTTTGACTCTGATGACTGTTAGATCGTGGATTGACGTCAGAACCAGGAAACGTTAATCTGAAGGGCAAGCCAGTTAATTAGCACGTTGCCTTAATGGGTATAAAAGGACACAGCTGAGCTGGTGCCTTTCGCCAGGAACAAAATGACAATTTTGAATGAGGACGTTACAACAATGAGCTCTCTGTTTGTTTGAATTTCGAAGGGGAGTCCTAACAGTTTCTGCCAGTCGTTATCTTGTTATTTCCTTCAGTTTGATTTGATTGTGAAACGGCTGCTTTATGTTTGTTCGCTTGAATTTCCAAGAGGAGACATAACATTATTGTTCCTGGCCCAAACAAACCATCTTTCAAGCAAGATGGATTTAAATCAACTGCAGCGTTTGGTAGAGCAGCAACAACAACAAATTAATCAGCTACTGCAAAGCAGTGTGACGCTTCAGAATCAGGTAACACAATTGCTGAATTATGTTTCCAGCTTACCAAGCCCTGCTGCTGTTCCCCCTGCCCCTCCTGAGAGGAAAAGCCCAGTATCCATGCCGGAGAAATTTTCAGGACAAATGGACATGTTTCCGGCATTTCTGGGGCAGTGTCAAGTATTTATGTCCTTGAGGCCTGAAAACTTTCCAAATGATCGGGCTAAGACAGGATTTATTCTTAGCCTTTTATCTGGGCAGGCTGCTAATTGGGCTACTCCCTTGTTAGTTCAAGATAGCCCGTTGTTGCATGATTTCCAGGGTTTTCTTCAACAAATGAGAGTGATGTTTGAGAACCCAATTAAGATACAAACTGTGGACAGACGGTTATGGGACATTAATCAGGGGAAATGTTCCCTGCAGGAATACGTTGCAGAATTTCGTTTGCTGTGTTTGGACTCTAACTGGAATGAACCGGCTCATATGGCTGCATTCCAGGAAGGCTTGTCTGATGCCATCAAAGATGAGCTGGTCCATGCAGAGAGGGCTTTAACTTTGGATGCATTGATAGTTCAGTGCTTACGAATTGAAGCTCGTTTACAGCAACGTGGACGCAAACGGCTCGGTATGGAACCATCTTCGTTTTCTCGTGCACAACCCACACCACCGAGAGTTTTCCAACCCACGGTTAATGTTGAGGAGCCGATGGAGTTAGGCGCACTCCGCCCTCGCTTAACGGTGCGAGAACGTTCGAGAAGGTTCCAGGAAGGCTTGTGCCTTTATTGCGGGGGTCTGGGACATTTTGTTAATTCCTGCAAACGGAGAGGGACCCGCAGACCCGTACCTGAAACCACTCTTGGCTCGTCAGGAAAACAAGGTAGACCTGACCTCAAGGAAACCCTAGGTCGGACACATTTCACATCCCCACCTCAAATTGCTGAAGTAAATCCTGGCCCTCCTCGGCATTTACTTTTGGACACTCGAATTTTTCTACAGTCACAGAAGGAGGGAATTCCCGCTGTTGCGTTGGTGGACTCAGGGGCTACAACCAGCTTTATGGACCGAGCTTTTGCTACGCACTATGGGATCCCATTGGTTGCTGTACATCCACCCATTAAGGTGGAAACCGTGGATGGGCGTGAGCTCAAGTCTGGACCCATTCGTTTCGCCACCCAGCCAGTGCGTATGATCATTGAGGATCATGAGGAGGCGATAAGTTTTAATATCACCTCGAACCTTCATCTCCCTTTGGTGCTCGGAATGTCCTGGTTGCGTTTGCACAATCCGTTGGTGGCTTGGTCGCAGAACGGTATTTCTTTTCCAAGTCTCCAATGTGTAGACACCTGAGACAATTGGAACGAGCGACGCCTCCATTGGCTGTGGGAGACAGAGTGGGGTTGTCAACGAAACATCGTCAAGTTAATCATCAGACTCGGGGGAAGGGCCCTGCGGTGGGGGATAGTGTTGTGATTGGAAGGAAGGGTCCTGTTGGGAGTTTTGACTCTGATGACTGTTAGATCGTGGATTGACATCAGAACCAGGAAACGTTAATCTGAAGGGCAAGCCAGTTAATTAGCACGTTGCCTTAATGGGTATAAAAGGACACAGCTGAGCTGGTGCCTTTCACCAGGAACAAAATGACAATTTTGAATGAGGACGTTACAGCAATGAGCTCTCTGTTTGTTTGAATTTCGAAGGGGAGTCCTAACAGTTTCTGCCAGTCGTTATCTTGTTACTTCCTTCAGTTTGATTTGATTGTGAAACGGCTGCTTTATGTTTGTTCGTTTGAATTTCCAAGAGGAGACATAACATGTAATGCACTAAATAAATGTGAAGTAGAATGTAGTCCAGAATTACAAGGGTTACAAGAATTCCCTATGCCTCCAGGCTCGAAATTTTGGACCTGGACAATCTGGACCTGCACCGTCTGTGGTACAATCTAAGCATAGTTCACAAAATTGTCTGCTATAACGTCTTGCCTGTCAATGACTTCTTCAGCTTCAATCACAATAATACATGGGCAAACAACCAATATAAATTCCAGGTAAACTGCTCCAAACTCAATTGCAGATCAATCTCGGAGTGATTGAAATCATGGATACTTTCTGGATGCTTGACAATGACTTCAGCAGCAGAGTGGTCAATGCCTGGAATGCCCTACTCAACTCCTTTGTTACAGCCTCAACCCCTCATAGCTTTAATCTCAAACTGTCTACAGTGGACCTCACCCCATTCTTAAGAGGTCCTTAAAGAGGGCATGCATAAGTATACCAGCGTGCCAACCGTCCCTGTCTTACTGTCCCCATTTATCTGTATTTACTTCCTTTGTTCTTGTTTATGTTCATACTTATACTTGTTATCTTGTACATGTTTGACAAATAAACAAACATACAAACAAACAAATAAATAAAGGGCTCTTTCCCCAGCGGGTAAGTAGAGAAAAGCTTGGAATCTACCGGCATCTACCGAAAAAGAGTGAAGGTGAACCACTCCCCCCCCAGCAGTTCACAGGTACTTCATTTGGACAAGTGTGATTAAACACACAAGGAATTTGTCTCCAGTTCAGATAGTTATTACGGATAAATACTTTAGTGTGGCAAGATCAACGGAACCAAGGAACTAAGACTGAGAGGAGCAGTTGCTTCAGAATAGTTTCTTTTTTTGCTGCTCTCATATAGACAGAAATCTTGCCGATCTAAAGCACTTATCTTAGATTTCCTGCATACCAACAATTCCAAACTATGTTGTCTCTTTACTCCCTGGGAAAGAGCCCCCCCCCCCCCAGTCCTGTGCCTCTGGACTATATTTCATCATATTGTGCATATTACAAGAAACATAAATTAAATAAGGAAATTTCATTGTATAGACAATGGACATTCTGTTTTTAACTAAGTTAACTATTAACTACATTAATATTTGCAAGCATCAGCAATGAAATTATTAACTGTAAAGGTGTTACATTAAGTTCTGAATCAGAATGTTATTAATGGAAACCTTTTTTCTCTTTTTTAAATCACTTTAGAACGATTTTCTTCATAGTTTTATTCTCTCAGTATCTGAAAAATGTACGTGTTCCAGTACCATCCTACCAAAAAAGAAAAAAATGCCATTTCTCCAAGATCAACCTCTTTCAGATCTTTCCAGTGAGTAAACTCTAATGATATTTGAGTAATCAAGTACATCTCAGAGCTGAAGAAACTTCTTGGATGAGAAGTGAAATGTCTTCAAAGAAAAACCAGAAAATCCAGTTGCCTCTTGAAAAAGCACCTTTGGGACTATCTCAATGGCTGTACTATGAATTTGACATAACTTAAAGGACTAAATGAAAATAATTATATGTGATAATTACACATTTTAATGCACCCCTGAAGTGTAATATGTGTCTTTATGTATTTTCCATAGAATTTCCTGCTTTGAAATCTGAGTTACCTGCTAACAAATAAAGATTCCTTTATTAGTTCTCACAATCATATGGCTATTATGTTTTGTACTAACAAAGATTCCTTGTTGTTTGTAACTACATAGGTGCTGTTTGCTCTCACAATTACGTGGCTATTATGTTTTGTACTGACCATCACCAACGTTCTTCCTTCAGATACAAGAGCTTATGGTTATTTAGCTCGGACTGACAGCAAAGGTGATGTCATAAGCAAGGCACCCTGGTTTCGATTTCCTTACCCAGGTATTCTTATGCTGTTTCTCTTTCCTGTTTAGCATAGCAAAAAAAAAGGAAGAAATTACCAGTTTCTTCTATGCAAAAATGTGTTTATGTTCTGGTCCATTAGATTCAGAGCACCCCATTTTATCCAATTCCTTCATCACTTATGTCCAAGCTCTTTCGCCTTTTAAAATATCTGAATTCCTTGGGAGTGATTTTTGAGAACTGCTTAAGTAAGCATCCTGAACAATGAAAAATCCCAGTGCAGAAGCAAATAAAAAAGAGATTCCCTCATTTTTCTAATATCTTTCTGCTTCCCATTTGGATCTGCTTTTGCTTTGGGCGTTCAAAAGTAGGATTGTGATGATGTATAGTTTTCCAAAAAGTATTTAGATAAATTGTTAGAACAATCTCTTATCTTTTTATCTACATGCAACAACATACATGAGACTAGGGTACAATACTGATATAAACTTTTACAAGATATTTACAAGGAGTTGTTAACAGTACATGCTTTTAGCTTTCCTGAATTTTGCAAATCAAAAATTGCAGATAAATTTACCAGTTTCAGATCTTCAATTTTAGCATGCTTGTTTCTTCTATTTAGGCCAGTGGGGAGTGCCCACAATTAGTTTGGCTGGTGTATTCGGCATCATAGCTGGAGTGATCTCCTCCATGGTGGAGTCAGTGGGAGATTACTATGCCTGTGCTCGTTTGTCTGGTGCTCCACCCCCTCCCAAGCACGCAATCAATCGTGGAATCGGAGTAGAAGGGATTGGCTGCCTTCTGGCTGGAGCCTGGGGAACAGGAAACGGTACCACTTCTTACAGTGAAAATGTTGGAGCTTTGGGGATCACCCGGGTAAGTCTGATTCTGAATGTTCAAAACCAAAAGTGGCCGTGAGCGGTTAGGAATAATGGAAGAAAAGCCTGTGCATCTTCTGCTTTGGAGATAACTTGGGGGCATTTTTAGGATGCATATGCTTCAGTTATAAGGCACCGACATTTTTGTCTCTGATTTGAGGCCATGATTTAAATTCCCTAATATTCTTCTGGTTTTGCACGCTGCAAGGAAAATCACTGCAAAGGAAATCCTGAGTTTTATAAACTCAGAAAGCAACTTAACGCTGTTTTGGTATAGTTTTAACTAAAATGTATGTGTCATATTTATGTGGCCACCTATTTCACAAGAATGTGATCCTGGCTGACACACAACAGTTGTGGATGAAAGTGGGTGCTTCTTTAGCCTTCTAAAAATAGCAACTAATTGCAAACATGCCCTTCTGCTTTCCTATATTCAAAGCACACCACAGAGTTTGATAAGCTTCCAGATTTTAAAAATAATAACAAAACACTGGGCGAAGGGGTTTAGACATTCTCTGAGCAAGTTGGAACTTTAAATTGATATTAGCACTTAAAGGGTTTACTTTCCATTTTTTTAATAAATTGCATTAACATTTCAGTAGTTCTAGTTATATTGTATCTTTACATATCAATGATAACTGTATCATAATATGATCCATTATGTTATATTTTAGAATTGCATTGTATATTTCTCTTTTATAAAAATAGCATTATTTGAAATAACTATTCAAAATTACAGTAAGGGGACACCTTTAGCTTGATAATTGTTAAATCGAAGTCCTATGGATTACTATCGGGTAAAGGATATTTGACTCAGCTAAAAAAAACTTGAAATTTTACATCTAACCCTATTAAAGTTGACAATTGTCAGGCATAGATCAGCTTTCTCCTCTTTTTGTTTCTTGTAATTACTTTCTCTCTCTCTCTTTCTCTCCACAGGTAGGTAGTAGAATGGTCATTGTAGCTGGTGGCCTTGTTCTGCTTTTGACTGGCATGTTTGGCAAGATTGGGGCTGTGTTTGCCAGTATTCCAACACCCATCATTGGAGGAATGTTTCTTGTGATGTTTAGTATCATCACAGCTGTGGGGGTTTCTAATTTACAGGTAAGTGGATTTTTTTCTAGGATAATTTTGTATGGATAAGACAGAGGCATGGGCAAATTTCTTGTAGGATGATTTAAAAATTGAGATATGCTGAATATTATTTGGTATTTCCAAGCGCCAATTTACGTGGATTATCACAACCAATATTTAATTTGTTAATATGTTCAATTGATTCTTTTTGTTATGATTTTATGTGCTTTTATAAGACCATGCTAATTCTAGTTACATTGACTTGTAGGAATCTCGTATTGAGAATTTACCCACATATAAGAATTTAGTCCAATTTAATATTTTTTATTTGTTGAATTTAGATACTAGCCATCTCACTCAAAACGATTCTGGGCAGTATACATTTAGAAAACATACAGACTTAAAATCCATATAAAAATACAATAGATCAGTAAAAAAGGCAGATAAAACAAGAATAAAATAAGTTAGAAGTTAAAAGGCGGGAATAGGACTATCAACCCTCAACTCTCAGCCCCAAGCGAATTGGCAGTCAGGTCTTCAGGCTTCTTCAAGAGGCAGGTGGGGGGCGGGGTTGCTACTTCACCTCTGGAGGAAAGGTTTTCCGGACTCCAGAGGACAAGGACAATGGCAGAGAACACCCTCTTTCTGGACCCCGCCAGTCAGAATTCTTTAATTGATGGGTCTGTAATGTAATTTTTCTACCTGACCAGGTGGGAAGGGCTGAGGTGTTGGGGATGAGATGATTCCTCAGGTAACCTGGCCCTATGGTATATAGGACTTTAAAAATAATAACCAATACTTTGAACTGACCTGGAAGCAAGCCTTGAATTGAATTGGACACAGAAACAAGTATTTATTGTAATATACAATCTGATTCATTTACATGTATTCACATCCCTTTTTTGCCTTGGGTATTTTGTTTCTTTAGTTATCTTAGAAAGCATCATTAGAATCAGTTCTTCTCCACAGCTATTAATTCTAGTGCTAACCCTGATTAATATTGGCAGAATCAAAGTTTGTCTAGGTAAGGCTCAGAGTACATAGTGTGATATAATAATGCTGATCTGTTTACATGTAAAATCATTGGCGTAAGTTAATATATTTTCTTTCAATTATACGTTTTTGTCAGTACACAGACATGAATTCTTCAAGAAACATATTCATCTTTGGATTTTCTATATTTGCTGGCTTGACCATTCCACACTGGGTGCAGAATAATACAGACAAACTAACAACAGGTACATAGGATCACAGCTTTGATTGTCGCCTTTCATCTGAAATAAGGTTTAAGTCAGAGCAATAAATAGAAGTACAACAAAAATGGGGAGGTATTATCATATATTAGTCTTCTACAGTGTAGGTTTCATACTCTACCATGCTTCTCTATTTATTCTAAAAGATATTTTGAATATGCAAAAATATTGTTACATGTGGCTTATATAATAAGAATATGACTGCAAATGCTGTGTATTAGTTCAGAAGCGAGGAGGCTATTACTAATCTCTAAATCCCAACTAGTGTAATGAAATATGAGGAATATTAAGTGACACTGTCAGCATCTAACATAGGTTAAGGTTTTCCAGCTCTGATTTAATTCACTATTTATTTATTCTATTGTATGACATTACTCCACCTTCTTTGGGAAATATAGACATGCAAATCTATATTTGAGCTGCCAGTGTGTATCAGATCTGAAATGGCTCCAGTAAGTTCTAGTTGCAAAACTACAGCTTCAGTTGAACCTTCATGACAACATTTTGGGCAATTTACTGAGTATTATAATTAGATTATTGCACATATCTTATACAATTCGGGATTCTAAAGCATTGCTCAGACTTGGATGATTTCCTGTTAGATAAATATAGCAGATCATTAGCATAAAAAGGATGTATTTTTTTAATAAAAGTTTTATTTAAGTTTTCACAAAACATACAAATACAAATAAAATATCTTTTTTTGAGAACAGCGTGGCCCCGGGTTACCACTTCTCCATAGAGACATAAACTCAATACATATACATTCTAATCCATATCTTATAACTATTTTCACAATTTTTTCAATAGCTTTTCCCTTTCTCTATTCCCTATAGCCTTATTTTAAATTATCTCATTCCTTTCTTAATTCAATTACATATTTTTTTCTAATTTTTAAAATCTTTCTAATCAATGTTTTTATACTTTTGTCTGTCCTGTTTACAATTTCATATTATCTTTTCTCATAAAACAAATTTTCCCCTGTAATTACTAGACTGGAGTGTAACACCTTTGTATCTTTTTTCAAATCTTATTTAAAAATTTAAGTTACATCTTTGCAGTTATAACATTCATTTTCTAACCTCTATTTTATAACACATACCTATTATCAATCAAATTCTGCTTGGTACATTTCCTTAAAATACACACTAAATTCTTAAAAGAAAAAAGTATATATGTATATACCGTATATCTGTGTATATATGTATAACAATAGTAAATGGAATAATTATTCAAGTACAGCTCTGCCATTAATATTAATAACAACCTTTTACATTTCTATTTCTTCTAACAAACACTACCTAGTAATATCAGTTGTCTTTTACTTTAATCATCTATATTTCATATTTTATTTATTACTGTCTTTAAATAAAAAAACCAAACAATAGTTATTAACAGTAGTCAATAAAGTTATTATTCTTATTCAAATTCATCTTATCAACTGATAAAAATCTTCCATGTTTCTTTTCAGTTTTTTTTAAAATGTTCTTTTTAAATCATTGAGAGCCTTATTCTCTTTACAAACAAATATCCCACTACACATCAATAGAAATTTTTCCTATCACTTTAATCATCTAATATATTATATAACAATGCTATCCCATGCACCTTTGCAGAATCCTCTCCTTAAGTTAAATTTTAACCATTGTCTCTGTGTCTTTTAAATAGATTTATACCTTTAATTCTTGTACATTTTTCCTGTACCTCTATATCTTGTTTCTGTCTTTTGTAGCTTTTCCTTTCCCTCTTCCCTCTCTTCTTCTCCCTCCCCTTTTTATTCCCTTTTCTATCTGATTCTCCCCTCTGTGATCCTCCCTTCTGCTTCTTCCTGATATTATGATTACTTTTCAAATTACTCCTTTTTTGGTTGTTGCTTCAGTACTTAAGTTTTTAACTCCCTTTCCCCCCTTTCCCTTTTTTACCCTGCTTAAAATTGCTTGGTCATTAAAGATGGCTTCTTCGTTGTCTCGCCCTTCTTGTTCTGCCAGAGTTTCTTGTTGTTTTTCATAGTTCAAGATCTCCATTTCTAAAAATTGAAATACGAAGCCAAAAGATCCTCTTCCATCTTATGCTTCTTCTTTTTGTTCTTTAAGTCTCATTTTTAACTCCTCAAGGAGTGATGCCATTTTAAAAAAATTTAAACAACCCCCAATTGATTTTATTTTATTTCATTAGGATCCTCCATCCAAAGTTCCAGGAATCATCCAATAATCCAAAACTGTTTCTTGCTTCTTTTCTCACTTTCTCTTTCTAGGGGCTTTGTTCTCTTGTAACAAAGTTTCAGCTACAATGTATCTTTTGCAAGCCTTGTTAAAATTCCACTATCATTTTTTTTAAAAGTTCCAGGTAGGTGGTTTCCTCCATTTTCCAGATTCCACCCTCTTTTTTCCTTTTTCCCTCCGCTGTTTTCTTTCTTTTTTTTAAAGAAAGTTTTTAAATTATCCAAGAATCTTTATCCCTTTGACACCTTATTTTCAGCCAGAAATAGCCTATTAATGTCAAAGTGGATTAGTATCAATTTCTTATTCGAATCTCTTCTTCTTAATGTTCCAAGTCAGTTAAAACTGTCGACGTTAGAGGAAAATAAGCCAATTCCATTTCCTTTCCCTTTTGCAGCTTAAAATCTTTTTTAGGAATAGTATTAGTCTTTAAAATTCAGGTTCCAGGTACCTTAAATAGATGTTCTCCATTCAACCCGTTCTGTCAAACTTTCTCCTTTAAACTTCCTCCTGCACAATCTTGTCTGGTCGGGTTCTTCTTTGAGGTGGTCATTTCTGACCACCGCTGCAATCGCCTTTGGGAAAGGGAATAATGGCCAGCTGAGGAGAGATGCGGCTCTCCTCAACCTGGCTGATGGCTCCCCCTTCTTCACCACCTCTACAGGGTGGCTTCAGCCCCGAATCCGGGCGGCTTGGGGGGCTCCAGCTGCGAGCATGGATCAAAACTGCGGACGATCGTGATTTCGGTCTGTCACCGAAGAAGCCCAAATCAGAAGCCTAAAAAGCATAAAAAGGATGTATTGAAGGACTGAATCAGCAACTTCAACTGGTTGAAGGATAGCAATCAAAGTACCAGTTGCTGTATGAGAGCTAATTAGGGAATTGGACTATTGAAAATTGAGTCCTTCAGAAAGTGTCCCATTCATGATGCTAAAGTCAATGGTTCATTGATGTGAAATTGCAAAACCGAATCCTATGCTCTTATATTCCTTGTTTGTTTATCACAGGGGTACATGGATGATCTATGCAGTAATATGGGAAGTACTCATATCAGGATTTCTGTGTAGAAGATAGAAACAAAATGAACATTCCACATGGACTGCAAATGTTTTTACTGTAAACACCATGGCCTGATTATTAAAAGAAAAAAGAGCATTTCAATGACTCGCCTTTCTTCCCTTGGGAAAGGATTGGGAGATCGTGTTTTGTTCTGATACTCACTGGATTCTCTTCCTAGGAACTGTACAGCTAGACCAAGTGATCCAGGTCCTGCTAACTACTGGCATGTTTGTTGGTGGATTCCTGGGCTTTTTTCTTGATAACACTATTCCAGGTAATTATTTGATCATGGTTCATCTTCCTTGACTTTATGATAGCGTTTATGGTTGTAGTGCAGCAGTAAGAGTAAAGGATATGCTTGCATTTTGAGAATTTGTCTATGGGTACAAAATTTCTTACTCCAGGGCTGCCTAGTGGTCCTTGACAGCCCTCAATGATACTCCAAGGGCCCTTGTAAAAGTTGCCAAGAAATTATGATATTTAAATGGCTGTGGGAGAAGTAATACAAAAGTAAGCAATGATCAACTCTCCAAATATTAATTTAATTATTTTATTTTATTTAAAAGATTTATATGGCCATTCGCTTTAAAACACAACAGAATGAAAATGTTATTTAATTGTAAATAAAATAAGAGAAATTATGCAGAATTTAATTTTTGTTTCTGATAAATGCTTAGTTTTGGAACCGACTAGATCCCATTATCAGGAACAATACAAAACATTTCCCATAAGCAGTTCAGTACTATGCGACATAAAAAAAAAAACACAATTTATACTTTTCTAATTGCTGCCCTTGAAGATAAGATTGAGATGCTACCTAGCCACGTCAGAGCTTGTTGTTCTATTGAAGGTTCTATTAATGGAGCAAAGTAAATTATATAATTACATCCATGCATACACTCTGACTACAGAGCCAGCACCTACAGGAATATTCATGCCAATTCCTTAGGAAAGTTTCATGTGATTTGGCCTTACCCACTTGGTAAAAGCACTTAATATTGGTGTTGTCACCTGAGAAAAACAGGAGTCTTGTATTGTTGAGTGGGATCACGGATATGTCTATTTGGATTTGTGGATTTGTGGAATCTTGTGGACTTGTGCATGTCCCGTGATACATATTTTTGGAAAGAAAGAAAGAAAGTGGGGCACATTTCTGTCACTTACAATCTTGTTATCGCTGATCAAATACATTATGGCAAATATTTATTGTAATATTTTCATCCTGAAGGACTGGTAGGCTTGCAGCTGTTCGGTGTTGCGCGCTCTCTCTACTCCCTACCCCCCACCCCCAGCATTGGAACCTCCTAATCAGATACTGTTGCATAGAAGCTCCCTTCCTAACTGTAATAGCATGTGGTCAGCTAGTTGAAAGAGTGCCAGATAATCTATCAAGTTGGAGAAAAGTGGTACAAGTTATTTCTTTCATCAAAGCAATACTATGTGTATCCTAAATTAGCTGAATAGTGGGGAGCAGAAACTATTGTACTGAGGAGAAAGACTAACAAGGAAAATTCCTTCTGCCACAGAATTGAGTTGGATAGATGGACACATTTTCTCTCTACTTCCCCTGACCTTTTGTGTGGGCTTTTCCAAAATCACACATTCTGATACTAGTATTTCTGATACTGGCATTTACCAGTAACAGCAAATAACTTTCCAACCATAATATAACTTAGTTGAGAGGCTTTGTTACTCACCATCTTACTTCCGTTTTGCAGGAAGCCAGGAAGAGCGAGGACTCCTTGCTTGGAGAAAAGATTATAATGAAGAGTCTGATGGTGCTGTGAATAACTTGCACATCTATGATCTTCCATTTGGAATAGGGTCCAAGTTCTGTGTTGCTATCTGGTTTAAATATCTTCCAATATGTCCTAAGCAGATGGCTACCAGAGGTGCACAGGAACAGAAGAGCAACAAAGCTGATTTTGAAAGGAACTCTGATAATGATATTAACACAAAGGTTTAAATCTGCATCAGAAGGGGTGGGGTGGGGGACCTGGTTTCCTAAGCTTCTGAAAAATTATCTTCTTTTTTGTGTGTTTTGTGGCCCTTGATTGTTTGTGGCTCAAGGCTAATGTCCAAAAAACAGTTCCATTATTTCCTCTTCCCCACCCCTGACTGGGAGAATCCTGAATGTCAATTTCTTTATAGTATCATTTCAGGAAATCATTTATTTAAGGAGTGGGGAGTGGGTAGCATGGGAAAGAATTTTCTTCCCATGATGGAAAACTGTTGCCCAGAAAATCTGAGAATAATTATTGGGAAGATGAATAAATCCTAAAGCATCGGGCTAAAGTTTCAGGAATAATACAGCCTTTATGTCAGCTGAACTGATTGGATGCAGTTGATCAAATCCTAAATTTGTCTGCTTTGGACTTTTGGTGTCCCCTGTTTTTTCAGAATGGTTAAGTCTATAAAAGCTCTGGAGGATAGTAAACTCTGGTTTCCAACAAAAATGTAAATTGTCACATGACCACAGGATGCTGCAAACGGCCATAAATCAGGGCCAGTTGCCAGGCATCCAAAATGCAACCATGTGATGGAGGGAGTGGCCATCAGAATTTTGAATCAAGGTCATATATGCCCTTGGAGAGGGGTCCCTTATAACTTCAAATATTTGCTAAGTGACCAGTCATAAGTTGAGGACTATATCCACATTAATATATGTTCATATAATGAGGAAACCCTTTGATCATTCTCTTGAAGGTAGGCCATTTTGGTTTACTAATAAGCCCTACTTCATGCCGATAGTTATTTCCTATGTTCTGATTCTGAGAGGATTTGCATTGATGACTTGTTCATGATTGTTTGCATCATATCCACTTAGGGTGTGCATTGCAAAGCAATATTTTCTAAAATTCTGAAAAAAAGGGATTTGGATGTGATTAACCATAGGGCATTATGGAAAGGCCAAAGCAGGTCCTTTCTGCCCATTTCAGTTTCCTATAATATGGTTAAGTATGTCTAATCACACACAGACAAATAAAATATTCTATTTCTATTTCTGTGTTGTATCTCCTTTTTTCATGCCACCTGTATATGCACTCTTCAGGCTTCATTTCAGATTTAATTCTGTTTTTCCACTTTCAGTATTGTTACTCTGAATATTGTTACATACACTACTTCCCAGCTTAGCAATTGCATCCTTTCTCTACATGTGACTTATGACCATTTTTCACACTTACGACTGTTGCAGCATCCCCACAGTCATGAGAGGCCAGGCGAGGAGATGGGTGCCTCAATGTGAGTGATATTGAGTTGGCCACAGCCAGCCAATAACATGACCACCAAGCCATGCCCACCCAGTCACATCACCCAAGCCACACCCACCACCTAAGCCAAAAGTTGTAGCAACGTTTCGGCAGAATCTCATCTGCCATCATCAAGCTTCTGTATTGTGTTCTGTGAGTCAGACTTTTACAGTTGTTTCAGTTTCAAATTTGGGGCTAGCCTACTGCTGTGCCAGAATGGTTTTTTCTTCATCCTGATTGGTTGGGAATCTTGGTCTGGGTTTATTGGTCTTGGAGTTTGCTGTGTTCTGCTTGATTGGTGTTTCTAATATATTCTGTCTGTTTTGTGGCTTTTTTTTGTGTGTCTTGATTGGCTGGTAACATTGTGTTCCTGTATTGGAGGCTTTTAGTGCAGCTTGGCTCCGAGTAAATGGACAGCTATCATTTGCTAGGAAGCTAGGTTTCATCTGGGTGCCTGGTTGGGGTGTGTTTGAGCTGGAGGTATCAGGGGGGATCTGTTTGTGCCCAGGTGTTTGCCTGGCTAGCGGTGTGGAGATTTTTTTGTTTGTGAGTGCAGGCTTCCAAATAATTGACAGTCTGGTGGAATCATCTCTTCTATTCATGCTTTCAGGTCTTTTTTCAATCTCTATGGCTTCTCTGATAATTCTGTAGCTGGGGTAGCAATAGAGATGGCATTCAGTGTATATGAGATTGTAACCTTTTTTTATATCTAGGGCTAAGTAATAGGTTTAATAATTTTTCACTAAGACTTTCTCATGTTATTTTATTATTGATGTTTTTGGATGGGTGAATCCAAAGTGCCTTTTAAAATCTAACATGTCTGTCTGTCTGTCTGTCTGTCTGTCTGTCTGTCTGTCTGTCTCTCTCTCTCTCTCTCTCTCTCTCTCTATCTATCTATCTCTATCCTCCTAATGCTGAACTGAATGAAGATAGATCCTAGGCAGAGGGCTGCAAACTCCTCAGCCAATTGAATAATTAAGCTTACTGAAACACAACTGTAGGCAGGACTATCTCCTAATAAAGTTGATAATTCAAAATAATAAAGTGAATTCAAAAATAATATTAAACATTATATAAGGTTTCCACATCATCTACATCATCAAAGCATTTCTTAAAAAGATAAAATGCATCAATAAACAAATCTGTATCTTCTCTTTTTTTCAACACAATATTGTTACTTTACAGCTAAGCTGCTTCTTTCTATCCCCCCCCACCATTGGCTTTGGAATCTTTTGAATGATGGCCCAAAACTGGAAACCAGGTTTAAGAAAGATAGCCTTACCCTTTCACCTATCTTGCATATCTAATCAATCCAATTTGTTTGCATGATCCCCACAACATTCTAAATTAAAATGTAGCTAGTTTGTAGTCTAGTGTGTTATATGCAACTAGTCTTTAAATGAGCTCTGAAAACAAGTTGACTTCCATTAGCATCCTTTAATTCTGTTCTTAGTATTTAACTGAAATGCATTTTAAAACTTCATATTTTAATTGATGAGCTCTGTTTTGCTATGTCCATGTTTTTCTATTGTGGCAGCTTTGTAAACTACCTTGAAGTATATCATGACTTCAAAGAATAGAACAGAAACTAATACATGGTGATATGCTTGTTAGGATTGAATATCATTAATAACTGAATAAATTACCATTTATGCATATTTTAACAGTTTCAGATGCTAGTCTCACTTCTATTTGATAACTGCTGAATAAGGGAAGATTGTTAATAACTGCCCTTAATTGCTTTCTTTCTTTTCAGCATAACACTACTGTATGATTGTAAGTAATAGATATCCTTTTCCAGATACAGAAGCTATAAAAATGTATTATAAATATAAGAGAACTACCTGACTACTGTATTTTCGACCTATTCTACAAATGTCCATCCTTTACATCTGATTTTTTTTTTAATAAAGTGCCATATTCTTAACCCAGATAATTATGGTGATAGCTGTATTAATATTACTTGTTAGCTTTACATCCTATCTTTCTTCCAGAAGCTCAGGATGCTATATATGCATTTCTGTCTCCAATTTTCCCCCTTAAGAATCCAGAGAGATGACAACTGGCACAAACTTCCTTACAGGTGCAAGAAAAGATTTAGGCACCCGATAGCTAAATAGTGGTTTTGGGTGAATCGCCATATGAATGGAAGCTGGCACAGCCTCTACATCAGGGCTGTCAAACTCCTGGCCTGTGGGCTGGATGCATCACATGCTGCCCATGCCCGGTTTAGCAAAGGAGAAAAAAAAGTCCCAATACGTGACGCTTCCGTGACGACGTAATTTGATACTCCTGCTCTACATGCTACAAAGTTAAACACATATCTTGGTAGTTTTCTTGCAGACATTTCATTACTAAACTAGGTAACATCATCGCTAGATAACATGACCATTACATGTGGAAGTTACCTAGTTTGGTAATGAATCGCCTGCAAGAAAACCACCCAGGCATCAAGGATGTCCCAGTTCAAATCTTTGAGATACAAATATTCTCTTCTATTAGTACAACATGGTCTTGTAAGCAAATTCCTGAATAAATTGGCATCCTTCAGTCCAGAAAGTGATATTCAGCAGGTTTTGACCAGTTCTGGAGAACTAGTAGCAGAAATTTTGAGTAGTTTGGAGAACCGGCAAATACTACCTCTGACTGGAGATTTTACAGTCATCCTTCCCCTGCCACCCCTGCTTCAGTCTCAAAGACTATGGTATTGTGCTATGAAAAGAGGTCCTAAAACAGTATCTAGTGTGGCTAAAAAGGCCAATTTGAGAGTGGCAATCCCTTCCACATTGAGGACAGATACAGTCTGTCCCCTGCCCAGACCCCAGATTTAGCTGGTTCTGGGACTGCCTCTTTGCCTCAGCCTGCCAAATGAGCGTCTCTTTGAATCGGAGAAGGCCATGATGCGTCTTTAGCCATGATGCGTCTTTAGCCTCCAAGCTGAACGATCAGAGGTCAAGTTTTCCCAGCTATTAATGTCCATTCCCATGGCCTTTAGATCCTCTTGCAGATGTCCTTATATTGCAGCTGTGGTCTCCCTCTAGGGTGCTCTCCCTGCACTAATTCTCCATACAGGAGGCCTTTCAGAATCCGACCATCAGCCATCCTCACAACATGCCCAAGCCAGCGTAGACATCACTGTCTCAATAGTATATACATGCTAGAAATTCTAGCATGTTCCAAGACTGCGCTATTTGGAACTTTGTCATGCCAGTTGATGCTAACAATACATCAGACAGTGCATATGAAAGATGTTCAACTTTCTCTCCTGCCATGCATAAAGGGTCCAAGACTCACTGCAGTTCATTAATACATACCTAATAAATCTGCCAGCTTTTTACAGACTCAAAGTAAAGAAACTGAATATGGGATAAGTTTTAATACTTTGTTTTCAATTAGTAATTTGTTCATTCCACTTTTCACAGAAATAATAGCTTCCCAGCATTTCCTCTAAGTTAAGAATCTTTCCATTCCTGCTTTTGAAAATTTTCTTCACTTTCTTGCATAACTTCTCTAGTTCACAAATATTCTCAGACCTGTGTGTGTTTGGTATGTTTGAGATCCCCTCATAAATTGTTGATGTTTAATTATGAAAACTATTAAAGTTTTTGGAGAACATTTAGCTAATTTTCCTGTGCATGCTTCATGATTAATTTGGAGGTAGTTTAGATTGCCTTGCTAAGATAGGTGGCCTTGTTTCAGTTTCTTTACTGACATTAATTTCTAGATATATTGATATATAGTTGAAACCATTCTTCATTCCACCTGTACAATATTGTATATGCCACTGATTGCCATCTAACCCCAACATATAAGACACATCTGTGCTTCAAGGTGTCCATTTCTTCAGATGTTTCACTTCCTTTTCTTCAAATGCATCTTGTGTGAACTGTCACCAGACAGTTCAATATTTGTTGCAAAATGTTTCAGGCTTATTGAAGTGTTCTTGTTGACACTTTGAACAATGGTTTAGGGGTGAGTTCAGAGAAAAGTTTTCCTTACAGTAACTCTTCCATGGAGATCACTGCTGTACAAGGGAAGCTCTGATGTTGATAACTCCTCTATTAAATGTTTCATTTCAGGGATCTGAAATTCTGTTTTGTAGATCTGACCAATCTGGAGGAAGTTTGAAGAGATGTTCCTTGCATTTCCATTTCTTGCTATTCCTTTAAAGCAGGGGTGGTCAACCTTT